TTACTATGTTTTCCTAATATTATCATAATTCTGACTTTAGGTCATGCTAATGCCAGTATTATATCATACAAACAAAATGTCTTGCTGTATTATGTGACATAACAAAACCATTCGATATGGCTTGGAGATACGGATTTTAAACACTAGGGCAGCAAAGGTTAAATGCTCCATTATATTGTCAATTTTCTAGCAAACAATTCATTCGTAATTTTCTATGCATACGATACGATGTCGTAGGATAGCTTTTAGGTTAAGATCAAATAAAGTTGTGAAGAGTAGATCTTGTCTTAATGCCTTCCTTACCGTAAAAGTCTCTGATAACCTTCCTTCCAAGATCACTTTATTTAATATTTCTTCTAAGGTAACAGAAACAACGTCTCATTCTCATGGTATGTGTGCCTTCAATAATGTTAAAATTTAGAATTTACCAATTACGTACATGTGGCAAAACTATGACTGGGTGCCTAAAGAAATTTTTCTGGATTAGTACAAGGACAGCTTTGTTCCACAAGTTAAAGATGAGCTAAGAAAAAAAAAACTGTGAAAGCCATCTACTTGTTAGACAATGCTTCAGCACATCCTGATAAGTTACCTGGCAGCAAGTCAAGCCTATTACACTGATTAAATCGTGGAAGAATATTTGGCCCAACAATCCACTCCTTCCAATAGAAGTTAACAAAGAATCCAATGATCAACGTATGCAAGTTGTACTAGATGCTGTCATTCAAATTTACAATGATATGGCTAATTCATCAGAATCAAAAGAAGCTTTATAAGAGTGGATTTTAGACGACAATCTCAATGTCGACTTTACAGATAAAAAAATAACCCAAGAAGCATAGGATAAAAAATATTTCACTGTCAACAGTGATGATGCTACATTGGCTGTAAACACTTTGATGCGAGGTGGGAGCATGATTATGACTTTGAAAACATTTTGATGTTAAAGGAGATACAAGAACAAGCAACGAAAGACAGAGAAACAAGAAAAAGCAAAAGACGATCAAAGATTTCTTCAAAGTGTGGGCACAGTATGTATTAACATATGCTCATAATTAATCTACCTTACTTGCGGTACTTAGTTATTAGTACGTATAATGTTTATAAGTCAATATTTAAACACTTTATTTACCGCGTGGTCCAATCTAATCATGTTCTAACTTTATTAGAAAAAATTCCTTAGTAAAAGTGGCCAAGAGAAATCGCTAGAAAAAGCTTTCAAGTTTCTGGGTTAACCGCTAGGGGGCGTAACCTGTGAAGAAAATTTTGAAAACCAGTTTTTTGGGAAATATGTCCAATTATACCAAGTGTTAAATAAGTAAACTAGAAAGAGGCCTAAATTCCGCACAAAGTTGTTCAAGTACTTTTTTTTATTTTTTCAAATAAAGGGTGGGGGAGAGTGGGAAAGTATTTGTGGACAAATATCTATAACTTTGGTTTGGATTAACCGATCTTAACGAAATTAGTGTAATTGGAAAGAGTGTGAATAATTTAATTTACTTCCACTATAAAATAATTGCATTTAGTTTTAATTGTCATGGATAGAGGGTACTTTCGAATAGAAAAAATTAAAATTCTCGAGATATGAATAAAAACGCATACACATCAGTAAGTATAGTATTGACTCACCCTTTATTATAATTTAAAATTAAATATGTGAAAGATCACACAAATACCTATATCATTAAAACTTAATGTCCAATTAAATGTTCAAATTGTTTTCCAGCATTGTCCACATAAAGACGTAATCTTTCGCTCGTAGGCATAACAGCTGCTTCAATACCAGCTGTTGATAAACTATTTATTACGTTTATAATACGCTGTTTCATGTCGTCTCGTGTTTGATACACTTTGTCCTTCAATCTACCCCGCATATTAAAGTCCAGACATGTTAAGTCAGGAGATCCAACTGGCCATGAAAATATACTTCCCTTTCCAATCCATTTATTTGGATAACTTGCATACAAATAATCTCAAACATGTCTGGAAAAGTGCGCAGGACACTCGTCATGTGGTAATATCATATCTCTTTTTGTTTGTAAGGAAATATCTTTCAATAGGCAACTGATTTTTCAGAAAATCCAAATATGTTTCGCAATTTAAAGTTCTATCAAAGAAATATGGACCTACGATCTTTCCACCAACTATACCACACCATTAAAACATTAAAACTCCATCTACCTTGAACCTGTACCTCATGTATCCAGTGCGGTTGTTCTTCTAGCAGACCTAACATCTAATTGCAGTAATCCAGCCTTGCATCAAAATTTCTCTCATGTACAATTGATGGAGAAATACACGATAAGTGTATTTCTTTTCTAATTCTAGACTGCATAAAGATGCAGTCTAAAAAACAGAACAACAAATATTGGCGAAAAAGAAACCACTATATTAACAAAAACTCAAAAAATCTTGAAAAATCCTCAATTGTTTCACAAGATAAATCGTGCATAAGTATTTTTAAGAAATGCATAAATGGATAAAAGCGCTGTGTTGCCGTTTTTATCGGAATATTAAAATAACAGTTGAATCTAAAATTTAAAGGGAATTCCAAGTTTCTGACCTAAACGTTCACTTTATAATATGAAAAGCCAATCTATGATGTTTTAAAATTCTTAGAACAGTAGTTTGGGTATGTTTAATTCTATAGAGATTTGCCGACTACTGGCTAATATACACTATATGTGGATTCTGTTGAATTAAAGCAAGAACATTGATTGGATTGTCTTTGATAATATCTCTACTACGTTGTTTAAAACAAGGATAATGAAAACTACCAGTTTCTCTTAATCCTCTTGCTTTTCTTTCAAATACTGCTTTGCCATAATGTCTCCTGTCAGGATATTTTACAGAATATATATATGTGAGGCAATAGCGGCATTTTGGTGACATTCGGAATAAACTCCAATCATATCATACAATTCTTCATTTGATATATTCATCACGAATTATTAGTACTGATAATTAATTACTAATATTACCAATATTAATATCTATTGAAAAAAGTGCAATTTTTAATTCGAATTATAATATAACACTTCTTAACAATGTTTTGACTGCTGTCAATAAATAAACAATATGAACTCCCCGTCAAATTTATTGTCGTAGCCTACTTAGTTTCGAGAAAACTATTTTTAATCATATAAAATAACAATGGTCAAAACAGGTATCAACATTAAGATTCATCTGCTATAAAAAAATTGAAAGTACCTACTGACTTATTTTTTAATTTAATTTATAATACAGGGTAAGTCAATACTATACTTACTTATGTTTATGCGTTTTTATTCATATCTCGAGTTCGACAAAGGCTACTAACATGCGGTTTGCGCCATTTTGTTACGAATTTAATGCAGTTCAGTGTTTACATTCAACATTTTGAAGAAAAACAAATTTTAATTTTTTCTATTCGAAAGTACCCTCTACCTATGACAGTTAAAACCAAATGTATTTATTTTGCATTTATCTACTATATAGATATTTATATCTATATCATCATCATCATCTAGCCTCTAACGTCCACTGCTGAACATAGGCCTCTTGCATGCTTTTCCACTTAGTCCGATTTTGCGCCATCTGAATCCAATTTGTAGTCACTCTTTTTATGTCATCTGTTCATCTCGTTGGAGGTCGACCTCTATTTCTGTAAGCTTGTATTCTGGGTCTCCATTCCAAAATTCTTTTTGTCCACCGGTCATCAACTGATCTTGCTACATGACCTGCCCAGTTCCACTTTAGTGTTGTTATCCTTTCAATAACGTCTGCTACTCCTGATCTTTTGCGTATAGTAGCATTGGGTATTCTATCACGTAGAGAAATCCCTAACATAATTCTCTCCATTGCTCTTTTCGCAACTTGTAGTTTACTCACTGTTGTTCTTGTGAGCGTTAGGGTTTCTGCGCCGTAGGTCATCACTGGCAAAATACATTGATTAAATACTTTTCTTCTCAGACACATTGGAATCTTAGACCTAAAAATATCCTTCATCCTTCCAAATGCAGCCCAAGCGAGATTTATTCTTCTTTTCAGCTCGATTGTTTGGTTGTCTCGACTTATTCTGATCTCATAGCCTAAGTATTTATAGGAGTCAACTGGCTCAATATCTTTGTCTTCTACTGATATGTTTTTGTTGTGGACTAAATTTGTCATAAATTATGTTTTTGAAAAATTTATTTTAAGACCAACCCTTTTTGTTTCAGTATGGAGTTCTTGGAGCATTATCTGTGCCTGATCAAAGCTGTCTGCAATAAGAACGATATCATCTGCAAATTTAAGGTTATTTAAAAATTTTCCATCTACATTGATGCCCTTTTCGTTCCAATCTATTGTTTTACAAGTGTATTCTAGCAAAGTTGTAAATAATTTAGGAGACATGTTGTCTCCTTGCCGAACGCCTCTTTCAATACGAAAAGTCCCTGTATCTTCATTAAGTCTTACACAGGCTGTAGTATATCTATATAGTAGATATAAATTAATTTATCCACACCCTTTCTATTCACACTAACTTCGTTAAAATCGATTAATCCAAATCAAAGTTATAGGTATTTATCCATAAATACTTTCCCACTATCCCCACCATTTAGTTGAAAAAATAAAAAAAATACTTGAACAGCTTTGTGTAGGCTTCTTTCTAGTTTACTTATTTAACACTTGGTATAATTCGGCATATTTCCCAAAAAACTGGTTTTCAAAGTTTTCTTCACAGGTTACGCCCCCTATCGGTTAATCCAGAAACTAAAGTTATTTCCAGCGATTCATCTTGGCCACTTTTACAAAGCAATCCGACATCCCTTTGGTCCCATATCTGTCGGATTATCAAGGGACAACTGTATTAAAAATAAAAAAATATTAAAAAACTACTTTTTAATATAATTTTTTTGAATTCAACCGCTCCAACAATCCTGTATTTATGTATTATTTTGTTTCGTTAAATATTGTTATTGTGAAATTGCGTAACTTTGATCAACAAGACTATATAAATAGAACTCTATACTTTAGTTGAACTAGATAATGTGCAACTTTGATAAAAGAACAAAATACTTATACTTTTAATCAAAAATGAAAACTGTGTTTCTTGCAATTTTCATGGTCATGATTGTGGCCTCCTTAGCTGGTGAGTATAAGCACATAAACTATATTTACTTTGTCTTATATCTGTTTTATGAGAAAATGATTGGTTGGTTTAATTGTATGATTATGATCACAACTATTATATATTGTTCACTATCATCCATAACTTAATATTTTTTCTTCTTTTTAAACGTTATCTTTTCCAAAACGTTAGTAATTAATTGATGACATTTACTTTATCCACTGTTGAACGAATGGTGATCTGAGCAATGATTTTCGTCTCCCTTAAACATATTTGCCATTCATTTAACCTTTAAGTATATAATATGCTAATATCTTGCTACCTTTTTTCGTCTTCTTCTGTGAGTGCCTATTCGTTACCAAATGTGGGCGATGATCATGACTTTTTTTACTTTGTTGGTATTAACGAGGAAAAGTTCTGTGTTATATTTGAAATCATATCTTAAAATTTCTTGACCAGTAGATTCTTTCTCTTATAGGACTTCTTCTACCAGGTATCGTTTCTGGTATTTGTGGTGTCAGGTCCCCACGCACGCGGGTCTTGCCGTCTAGTCCATATAGATCGTACTTTTTCGTTATGTATTGATAACTCAGCAATAACATAATAATTCGGATCAGATCAACAGCGTAAACAAAAAAGCTATCCGTACTATACTTCTTCTTCTTATTACGCCGTCTCCTTTCGGAGATTGGCGATCAAAATGGCACTAGTAGTTTTGGCAATTACTTCTTCTTCTTCATGTGCCTTGTCCGTTCCGAACGTTGGCAATTAACATGGCTATTCTGACTTTGTTTACGGCAGATCTGAATAGTTCAGCAGATGACAATCCGAACCATTGCCGCAAGTTTTGGAGCCACGAGTGTTTTTTCCTCCCTGGACCCCTTCTGCCGTCTATTTTCCCTTGAAAGATTAGCTGTAGTACTCATAACGTACTCAAATCGTAAGATTTATTATGTCTCATAACGTGACCCAAGTATTCCAACTTTCTTTTCTTTATACCTATTCCTACCTCTTTTTCTTTACCTATCCGGCGTAGTACCTCAGTAATATACGTCTGTAAGCCCACATTTCGAAGGCCTCTACTTTTTTCATCAATGATGCGGTCATTGTCCACGCCTTCATTCCATATAACAAAACCGGGAATACATAACATTTCAGAAGTAGAATTTTGAGAGGTAGGGTGAGGCTTTTAGAAGTGAAAATTTGCTTCATGCTAGTGAATGATGCTCTTGCCTTTTCTACTCTTATACGTATTTCCTTCGCTTGATCCCAATTTGAGTTAACTGTTAATTCCAAGTAGATGTACGAATCCACGTGTTCAATTCTTTCATTGTCTCATACCAGTTGCTGTGGTGGTTGTTGGGTTTTGCTTACTAACATCTATTTGGTTTTTGTGTTATTTTTATGTTATTAATTATTTCTCCATTTATTTATTATGCCTTCTGTGCTTCTATGACGAACTACCGCATTTATTATATTTTGTAGTCCTTGTGCGTTATTTGCTATTAGGACCGTATCGTCAGCGTACCTGATATCATCTATGCTGGTTTCGTTAATCTTGATTCCACTTTAAACCTCATCTAATACTTTTATAAATATAGATTCCGAATACATATTAGATAATAGCGGTGATAGGACGCAACCTTGTCGCACTGCTCGTCGGATTTGTATATCTTCGGATATTGTGTGCTCTATTTCAATTGTTGTCGTTTGGTGCCAATATAGTATTAAGATAAATAGAGATAGATAGTAATATCGATAAATAAAGTCTTCTTCCAGCTGTTCTCGGAATTTCAAAGGTATATTCCAACAATAAATAATTAATAATAATCACCGCAAATTCAAAGTTACTTTAAATACTAAATCTCTGACACATAGTTTCTGCTGACTCTACAAGGTCAAAAAACAGGTGTTTTTATTGTTAATTCACGTAGTGTTTATTTGATATTTAATTAAATCACGCAATATATTTAGTTCATACGATGCTATTTTCAATCTTCCAATTTAATAATTAAATTTAACTTTGATATTCAAATGTCCATGGACTTAATCCCGCTAGACTTGTGGAATACAGTTTTCGGGCACCGCCAGTGTCTTCAATATAAAAATCTTACAGAGATTATAACGACTATTTTGCTTACCACAGGGTAAGAATATGGGGGACAAGATTGGACAACCAAAATATTCGGAACTAGTGCGTACGACACTCAGAGGGTTGTTGGAGAGCTGGGTCGTGGATAAGTTGAAGATATGGGGGTTGGATTGGGGCAACTACAAAAAAAATAAATAAAGGGGTACTTATACAAATCTCTTGGGACAAACAGAATGAAAATAGACCGGAAACACCTCAAGAAATTTAATATAGGGCGCCACTTGAGGTGCCTGATTATACCTATTACAACCACTAGTTGTAACTAGGGAAATAATTATAAAACATCAAAAATATAGAAAAAAATATCTTTTTCAAATAAAACTCAAAATAGACCAGAGAAACAAATTAAACGTTTATTTTTGTCTCAAACAAACAGTTATCAAAAATACAGATTATTAAAGAAACATATCATATAACATAATACAAAATAACAAAAACTTACATGTTCTTTTTTTACATAAAAGATTGCTACAAAAATTTTAAATGGTTTCTAGGTTATATTATGGCCAATTTAAATTATCAAAATTTTATGGATATCCTTTTTATGAAAATATTATTGAATTTAACCTCTACGACAAAAAAAATATAAAACTTTAATTATTACAAATCCTTTTATTTTAATGGAACCAATTATTAAAAATGTTTTTATAACTTGGAAAAAAATTAATATATTAAAAGTTACCTTATTTCTCACATGTTTTACTTAACTTTGAAAAAGAAAAACTTGCTACATCTCTGGGAAGCTATTTGGACAGATTTTCAAAATGGAAAACAGGAAACTATTTCCGTACTCAGGCAGGAACGATCTAAACAGGAACTTGGTGGAGGAATCAAGCTTACGACGGAGACATTCCATACCATACTTCTCAAAAATTGCCAGTTTCCATTCAAATCCAATGACCACTCTGACAAAGCTGCTTATGCAAAGCAAAGAGTATCATTACTTTAACTGGTCTTAAGACATTACTAAAAGGTTGAATCGACTCTTCGATTCACAATTGCCCAAGAATTATATATCCGCAAAAGCGTCTACCACCGTTTCAAATCTGTTCTTCCACTTCCATTGTAATACGTCTGCCCTGCTTGGAACTTAAATGTCGACCCCTCATCCGCGTTACATTTTACAAATTCAAAGCCAAATAATTTCCCTTCCGTCTTACAGCTAGCCTGTCGTCCACAAACTTAAAACAAACAATCTTCCCCTTGTTATTCGTTCCTAACGATGAAAGACAAATAAAACCTCTTTTTTTTATCAGGGGACATCATAAATTACAATTCCTTTATATACAAAAAAAAAAACTTGTCGAAATAGATATAACATAATACAAATTAACAAAATAGCACGTATTTTTAAACCGGAGTTCTACCTGACTTTGTAACAAAAGGTTATGGGATTTGAAAGTGCACATAGACAAAAAATATATCCAGCGTTATTTAGGCATTTAAGATTTTCGTAAAAGACAAACACAGATTTTATGGCAATCTTTATGCGTATTGACGAGATAAACGAACAGGGACGTATTATAAAATTTAAAACGCTACAAGATTCCAAAATAAAGGGCATGCATGTTATAGTCAATACCATATTATGATTACTAACTAGCTGATTTCGCACGACATCCCCCTAGAAACCGTTAACGAAGCCGTATAACGTTTTATTGCGAAATACTGTGAAGTAGTTCTTGTGCATACTAATGTGATGGCAAGAAAATTAAATGTGCAAGCCCCTTCCGAAGCACCTAGTTTGAAACGATTAATGCCATCCTACCTAACAAGTTAGACCTTTACTTCTCTATAAATGTAAACCAGTTGTCAAAGGTTATACATCTGTTGGTCCAATAGGTTTCTCATATCGAAAACTTGCACTTTATGTAAATAAACTACGATTCCTAACCTAAAAATGGTCCGAAAAATAAAAACAGCTAGGTTTTATATACCTAAATACATGCTTTTCTTATATTTATAAATCACAATGGTTTGCAAATACCTTTACAGATGCTGCAACGTTACATATGGAACTAGAAAACTATATTGTTATATGTGTATGTTAAACACCATGAAATACAAAAAATGCGATAAAACAAAATCGACGAATGTGAATGTTGTAAAACTTCAGCGCTTAACTCTAAGTAGTATTTACATCTAGTTCCACTAAATGACATAAGAGCGCTCTAGCTTCCTCACAAATGATAAATACACGGCTGGTACAATATTGGCTACTTTCCCCCATATTTACATAACTGTTGTATATGTACCTGTAATTTAATGAAAATGGTGTTGAATGTATTTTGTGTTTCTTTATTTCACTACTTAAAAACATGTGTGTGGTAGCCTACATAACGTAACCCCGTAAGTAATGAAGTGAGTAACGTCCCATGAGATCTGTCAACGTCCAAGTGTCATGTCTTCTTCTTCTTTTGGCATTATAACCCTAGATGGGTCTTTGCCTGTTTTTCTATGTCCTTTCAGTCAGATCTCTCTTGTGCTCTTCTTCTCCATTGTCTTATGTTCATTGTTTTCATGTCGTCTTCCACGTCATCCAACCATCTCGTTCTGGGCCTTCCTTTTTTTCGCCTTCCTATGGGCTTCCATTGTACCATTTCTTTGTTGTTTTTACATCGTTTTGTCTCTGCACATGTCCCAGCCATGACAGTCTTTGACTTTTCACAAATATTACAATGTTATAACCTTCATTTAACTCATTAACCTCGTCGTTTCTCCTGATTCTTCATGTGGCATCTTCCTCTTGTACCAGGCCATATACTTTCCTCAGTATTTTTCTCTCGAATGTCCTGAGTTGGGCTTCATCTTTTTTTGTCATTACCCAAGTTTCACATCCATAGGTTACTATGGGTCTAATCAGTGTTCTGTAGATAGTCATTTTGGTTCTTTTGTCTAATAATTTCGATGTCATCAATCTTTTATTAGCATAGTATGTACGATTCCCGCTGGAAATACGTAGATTAATTTCGCTACTTACGGAGTTCTTCTGATTGATTTCTGTGCCGAGATATGTAAAGGCATCCACTCGTTCGATAGTATAGTTGTCTATTGTGATATTATTTTCATTGTCAGTTATTCTTTTGACTGTAATATACTTCGTTGTTGCTTCGTTTATTTTGAGACCTCTTTTTCTTGCTACAGGATCAATTTGTGTGTCCAAGTGTCATGTCACGAAACTACTAAAATGTCAAGTATATGACAATAACGAAATTACGAAAAAATATTAAAATTTTGTTTATTAATTACAGATCCCTTACATTTAATTCAATGTGGTGAAAATGAACAACGAGGTTGCGAACCCTGCTGTCCCCAATCAGAAGTTACATGTCAAAACAAAGTACCTCAATCTTGTGGTGGACCTTGTGCACTGATTTGTATCGTCAAATGCGTTTGTGCTAAAGGATATCTTAGAGACACTACGAGCGGAAAATGTGTTACTGATTGTTAATACTCTGAATAAAAACTATAAAAAATTTCTGTATTGTTTTAAATGAGGCTATGAATGCAAGAACGGACTAACCCCGATATTAATGAGTGTTAGAAAATGAGTTTGAAAAAACAATGAATAGGAGATCCTTTCCATCCTCAGTCCTAATCCCTTTTGGGATGTGATGACACCATTAGGCCTTTACAGTAGTTTTTTCACGATTTCCTTCCATCCTTCCCTCTCCTGGGCTAGTTGTTCGGCTTTATGTAACCCTTGGTTAATCAATATTTTTGTTTGATTTACCCAATCACTTGGAGATCTTCCCCTAGGTCTCTTTCCTTCAACTCTACCCTCGACTATCAGTTTTTCTATTGTACCTGTTCTCCTAGCAATGTGTCCAAAATACTGCAAATATCTCTGTTATGTTTGTTTAAGCTATCCATCCTTTACTTTAAGTTGTTATAACATCGATACGTTAGTGCGATGAACAATCCAAGATATTCTTAACATGCGGTGGTATACCCACATTCCAAAAGCGTCTAGTTCATTTTTATCCCCTTTCTTTGAGGTCCACGTTTCGGATGCATATGTGGCTAAGAGAAAAATGAGTATCCTTCCCAGCCTTAGAATTGTGTGTATTGTTATACGAGAATTCTTTCAAACTGTTACCAGTTTCATCATTCATAGGAGATCCACTAAAATCTTATTTAAGAATATTTTTTGGTTTAAATAAATTAAAGTATGTTAGATATTACTTATTTGGTAAATTTATAACATATAAACAATATTGCATTTTGATCAAAAATTTTGGATATAGGAATACATTCGATTTTTTATTGTTTGTTAGTCCTCTTTGTATTTAAAATATTTTTAGTTAGTGAATAGATTACTCCACAAAATAATACACTCGATATTGCATCAAAGACTTTATTACCACAGCATGCGTATAAGAGCATCAGAAGCGAGAATGTCTAATCCTCTTCGTCGTCAAATGGTTTCGTCTTTACCTTCGGCTACTTGAGTTTAAGATCTCAAGTTTTTATAAAATTCATGGTGTATAGGGAATATCAATTGCATTAACTGTAGGTCTTTTTTTAGCTTCATTAATGGTATTTCCAATTGAAAACAGAAGTGGCAATTCCATTGTATTTTTATAAACAGATTTCCTTTTATTAAGCTCCACTGTTCACATTAAACATCTTCATTGTTCGAATGCTTATATTGAACAGTATTGGGAAAGTCTTTCCTAAGCCTTAACCATTAAATTTTAAGCCACTCTACCTTGGTTTTTGATTCGGAAACTTTTCTATTGGAGAAAACATTTGATTTGTCCATGTTTCTTACTGTGAACGGATTTTTTTTAGCGTACTGTATCACTGTATGCCAGTCTTGGGGTATATATACATGTGTATGGAATTTCTTTTCTTTTTCTATTATACCAAAATCTTGGTCAGATGGCAAGTAAGAATGCCCACTTACCAGAAACTTGAGGTCTATTTCTTCCATTGTAAAATCTTTAGATGTTGTTATATAATTGAATAATAATGATATTTTAATAGTACGATTCTTGTCGCCACATTGGTCAGAATACATAATAAGTCATTTCGATTTTACGTAATTTTTTATGGAAAATAAAATACAGGATTTTAGACGCGAAGGTTTCATCCCACACAAACACACAAACACAAATAAGTTGTTAGTTTACATTTCATATTAAAGAAGTAGGTCCATAATTGCCGCATGCAATAACACATTTCTTTAAGCACATGTGTAGGTAAAGTCTTCATCAGATCGAAACAGATGACTGACGCGTTTCCTTTTTTTTTGCCATTTTGGCGTTTTTTTTAAACAATCTCAAGCACTCTTCTTCTTTTTTGTCGAAGTTCCATTGCACTTTCGAGTTGTTTAACTGATTCATTGTTTGCTGTCTTTATTTTAACTTCAAATAAATCACACTTCTTATAAGTCAGCAATTGGTGGAGAAAAGTGTAAATTATATTCGTTGTTGAACGTTTCTATGAAAAAAAAATAGGTTAAGGGATAGAACAGAGTAAATATATTTCACAATAATTGAAACTCACAATGACAATTTATAAAAAGATATAAAAATATAACTCTGCCTGGGGGTTATGAGCGTGGCGACTAGGTGGATTGAGTAGCTCACAAGTCACGTTCAAGCTCACAGCCGTTCCCAAGCCTGGATAAAAGAGGAGGGTTGACTGGCCAGGTTAGCATGCTACCCATTGTAAAAGAAAACAAGGCTCAAAGAACCGATATAAAGTTTCGGAACCAGACGGAACCTAAGATTACGAACCACACAAAGAAAAGGAAAAGAAGAAGGAAAAATAAGCCCACAATCATATTAGCAACATGGAACATTACTTTCTTCAACAACATAGACCAAGAGATAATAGAAGAACTGATAAATAAAAATATAGACACTTGTGCAATCCAAGAAGCCAAGAAGACAAATAAAGGCCAAAGAGAATATAACCAATATATCCTATCATACAGTGGAGTGAAGAAAGAAGAACGAACATAAGCAGGAGTAGGTATACTTGTCCATAAAAATTTTAAGACAACATAAATAGCTGCCGTTATATTTCCGAAAAAATAATACATATGAACATCAGAATGGAGTACCAAAAATTAAATGTCCTATGTATCTATAGCCCTATAGGACTGCAAACCTAACGAGGAACGAGAGGCAATCTACGCAAACAATTGCAAACCATCCTGGATGAAATACTCCATGAAGAGCCCTTAATTCTCATGGGTGACTTTAATGCACGAATCGGAAATAAAATAGCTTCAGGAGTAAATCAAAGTAAAAGAAATAAAAAAAGAGAAATGTAAAGAGAAACGAGAGGCCTATACGAAGTACAAAACATCAAATAGCCCAGAATCCCGCGACAACTAGAGAGGAATACGAAATGAAATAAAGCAACTGGTAAGAAGACGGAACTGTTTAAAGCAAAGAAAAATAATAATCAACACAATAACGTACCTGAATTAAGACACAAAATAGAAATCAGTTTTCAAGAAGTAGAAATATCCATAAATTTACTTAAAAATAGAAAGTCACCAGGACCAGACGGAATAACCAACGAACTTCTAAAACACGGAGTAGAAAGTATAACCTTAGAGATGACAAAACTTATAGAAAAACTAATATTGTACTGCAACATACCAGACGCATAGAGAAACAGCATAATAATAGCAATGTTCAAGAAAGGAGATAAAGAAGATCCCATCAATTATAGAGGTATAAATCTACTAAACACCGCACTTAAGCTTACCACAAAAGTCCTAACCAATAAAATCAATCAACTAACAACTTTATCAGATGAACAACAAGGATTCAGATCCAGAAGACCCTGCGTAGACACCGTATTTGTACTAAGATCATGATTTCCATGATTTCCAGTATTTCTTGAGTCATTTAAGGTTTTCGGCTTTCTGGTTTCTTTTGTGTTTTTATAACAGAATCTTTGATTTTTAGGGAGGCTTTTTTAAATTTTTAAGGAGGTTAGAATCTGAGTGGACATGACTGCTCCAGAAAAAGTCTTAACGCTTATAATAGAATTTCTAAATCTTAGGTTGGTTAGAATAAAGTCGATCTGAATTCTAATGTAATTTTGTTCATTATCCTATGGCGACCTTCAGATATACAGTCTACGGGGTGGTGATCGAAACCACGGGGTGGTGATCATAATCGCAGCTAATAGATTTTAACTAGACAGTTAATATTTTACAATAAAATAAACTGATGACGCTGAAGATAAAGATATTTTATGAAAAAGACAGCACATATTTGATTTCACGCAAACAACTCCTATGTATCTGTTGATACGTATTTCGACCTAAAAGGTGTCATCAGAACAGTTATTCATAGGTGTTCTCTAAAAAAAATATTTTAATTCTTGCTAAGGTATCATGTATCGACAGTAGGACACAAGTTTTACGACGATATGTTATAGTATAACTGAGCATTCCATTTTTTGTTTATATTTTATTTTTCATAGATTTTATAAATTACTGAGAAATGTTGTAATCTTGTTTATTAATTACAGATATTATACATTTGTCTCGTGGAAATTGTGGTGAAAATGAAGTAGAAGATTGCGAACCCTGCTGTCCCCAAGCGGAAGTTACATGTCAAAACAAAGTAGCTCAACCATGTGGTCAACCTTGTCCACTAAGTTGTATCATTAAATGCGTTTGTGCTAAGGGATACTTTAGAGATACTACGAGCGGTAAATGTGTTACTGATTGTTGATACCACGAGTAAATATTTGTTATTAAAAATAATTTTCGTTAGTAATAAAAAACTATTAACTTATTCTGTATTTTTTTTTAAATAATTATTAGTCTAGTAGCCACAAAAAAAAGCCACGAAAAAAACCCTAGCCTTGCATATCGAGATGCCACAAATTTTATTTTCTTCTTCTTCTTACGGTGCCTTATCCTTAAGGACGTTGGCCATTACATTTGCCCATTTATTCTTATTTGTAGCAGCCCTGAATAGTTCTATGGAGGTCATGTTCGTCCACTGCCGTAGGTTTTTAAGCCAAGAGTTGCGTCTTCTTCCTGGTCCTCTTTTGCTATTGACTTTGCCTTAGATTATAAGTTGGAGCAGTTCATGCTTTTGATTTCTTATGATGTGACCAAAATATTGTGTTTTCCGTTCTTTTATTAAAAGCATAAGCTCTCTTTCCTTATTCATCCTCCGCAAGACTTCCGCATTTGTCGTATGGCTCATGTAGGATATTCTGAGCATTTGACGGTAACACCAGAGTTCGAATGCTTGGATTCTTTTTTGTGTTGCGTCTGTCATTGTCCAGGCTTCAACACCATAGAGCAAGGTGGAGAAAACATAGCACTTAAGTATTCTAGTTCTCAATGAGATGCCAAGCTGACGGTTGCATAGAACTTTTTGCATTTTGTAAAACATTGTACGTGCCTTTTCCAGGCGTATTCTTATCTCTAGTGAGTGGTCCCAAGTTTCATCAAGATTTACTTCCAAGGTACGTTGTTCTTGTTACTCTTTCCAGATCTGTTCCATCGACATTGACCTTTACCCTTTTGTTTTGGTGCTTGTTGATGACCATCGTTTTTGTCTTCTTTGTATTCAATTTCATTCCAAATTCTCTACAGGCTGTCGTTACTCGCCCCATTAAGCGTTGCAGGGCTTCAGCATTATCTGCCAGTATGACAGTGTCATCAGCATATCACAGGTTATTTATACATTGCCCGTTTATATAATTATACCATCTGAGGTGCCTTCCAAAGCTTTCTGAAATATCTTCTCAGAGTAAACATTGAACAGCAAAGGTGATAGGACACATCCCTGTCTTACTCCCTTCTCGATATTGATTTTTCCAGATGTTTCGCTTTTTATTCTGATTTTAGCCTTTTGCTCTTGGTAGAGATTTGAAATGATCCTTAAGTCTTTATTGCACCCAGATAACAAAAGTTGGTGATTTGTGTTATAGGTTGTTGGTTAACTAGTAATTGACCAGGGGGTTCCTATTTTTGTTATGTATTTGGTTTTTTTGATGTTAAAATCTAGCTTAAACTTGCTACTTACTTCTGCTACCCTGGAGATAAGTGTCTGCAGACCTTCAAGATTGTCTCTTGGATTTTTTAGGGATTGTTATAAAAGTTGATCTTAGCCACTGTTGGGGTATTTTTCTACTTTGATATATATTGTTGAATATCAAGGTAAGTCTTTTTACTTCGTCTTTATCCTTTATTTTAAAAAAATCTGAGTATAACTCGTCTGGTCCTATGGCTTTTCCCTCCTTAATGTTGTTTATAGCAGCTCCTACTTCCGCTTCCAGAATAGCTAGTCCGGTATCGTCATTTTTATTTTGTGTAATAGTGACATTCCTATCGTCTTCAAATGTTGTTGTTGTCATATTGAAATTGGAAGCAAAAAAGATATAAAAGTGATATTAGCAGATCAGTCTGATGGAGCTGAGCACCTAAGTAATACGGCTGTGAACAGTACGAGCGAGAATTCACAGTTAGCAAATATTGAAGATCTAAGTAACACTAATAGCTCAATCGAACATAATGTGTTTCCGATAGTTGCTGTCAACGAGGAAGACAATGCCAATATTGGAGTTGTAGAAAATGAGGAAGACGAAGAAGACGGCACAGCAATTTACATAACTTCAAAGAAAATCCAAGAGCTTAGAGATCTTGCTAACATGTCCATGGTAAAACAAGCTAACAGAATACTACAGCATTCTAATGATAGATTACTGTTGCAAAAGTAGGTCAATGTGTTAGAGTGCGAGTTCCAGAAGTTGATAGCTAAGGCCGAAATTCTGTCGCCATTCATACTTATCAATAAAGTGCCGAATTCTGAGATATTCTCAAGGAATGGTATAAAGATTCGACTTTAAGCGGTCAATTGTAGTGTTCAATGCAGTTCAAAACGCTGCAAATGTAAAAAATTAAACGTTCTTTGTAGCCATAAGATCCACAGGAGCCATATTTGCAAAAACAATTAATGCCATCTTATTCCATGTTTTTTGTGTTCCCTCATAGTAGTTCATTTTCAGCTGTTGTCTGGTATTCCTCTCTTCCTTTTCCCCCATGGATCAGTCTATAAATCTATTTAATTTATTTTACAATTGAACATCAAAATAGGTATTATTTTGAACAATTATTGCTTGAACTTTGACGGTATACAAGGCAACTATCGAACACGGTGATTAATTTAATCTTGCCCAAGTACTTTCGATCAATAGATCATCTTCAGGGGCATTTCGTCAGTTGTGGGCTATCCGACATAAGTAGAATGTCATCAATGAGAAAGAAAGTGAGACAGAATGAAGACATCATTCTGTCTCCGGCTTCTATACAACATGTAGCTTCTCCTGTTCAAAAAGTTTTAAAGTGTTTGTTTGTCTTTGTGTATCGTATTTTGTATTGTTATGTCCAAATTTACATTTATGACATTCTACTCATGTCGGATAGCCCACAACTGACGAAATGTCCCTGAATATGATCTATTGATCGAAAGTACTTGGGCAAGATTAAATTTAATCACCGTGTTCGATAGTTGCCTTGTATACCGTCAAAGTTTAATTATTCGAACATTCAACCTTATGTTTAATTATTGCTTGTGTATACTTTATATAATAACATATTATATGTAATAAAAAAATAAATTATATTATAAAAATATATAAGGTCAAACACAAGCAAACCTTATACATCTATTGGTGTTGGTGTTTTTGATAACAGGGTAACCTAATTATAAACACATTTAATAATCCCGTTCCAAATAACAACTTGTGATCAAATAATATATTTTTAATATTCTATATCTGCGATCGTCTAGTATAATCTTAATATTATGTTTATGGTTTAAAAGATTATCATTCTCAATTTTTTTATACTTTGACTTCATTTTAACTACTTTAATCATTGTTTCATGTAGCTAATGATTTTAGTAATATTCCATTAATAGTCAAAGTGCCAAACTGAGATAAAAGTGATGTTGTATACAAACTTAGTTGTTTAGATTGTAAAGGTTCTTATATAGGTCACAACTCACTAAAAGTTTCCAGCCCTTTGACTCTTCAACAAGAGTGACATTAGGTTACATTCTGATAGATGTTGCCTAGCCACACAGACAACACAAAAGGACACTCTGTCGATTTTCCATGTGTAAAAATTCTATCCACGAGTAGTAATTATTCAAAAAGATTGTTTCTCGAGGTGGTATTCATTTTTTAAGAAAAAAAATTATTAATAAAAACACAGATACCAACAATTTGAGTAACCTATACTCAATATTATTAACTTTAGATAACTGCAAAACTACACTCAGATGCAAAAAAAGCAACGGAGAAAATTTTGGTCAAATTCAAAGTATTTCAATTTTTTTATTTTTAGCGAGAGATTTGCGGAGTGTGCTTTTAGTCCCCGTGTTAACCATGGAGGGGGTTCGGTGATGGTATTGGCAGGAATATCCCGAAAGGCTCACCCTGAATTGGTATTTATTAAGGAATTTGTTAACTGCACACCGATATATTAAGGAAATTTTAGCGAATCACGTACTACCCTTTTCTCAATATGTCGGCGATGATGGCGATGATTTTCTATTAATGCAAGATAATGGGTGATCCCACACTGCAATGTGTGACTCGCAATATTTAGAGGAAGTTTTTATTAATTAAAAATGAACTGGCCAGCATATTCGCCAGATCTGAACCCAATAGAGCACCTTTTGGACATGCTTGGTAACAATATTAGAGGTCGCGAAATCGCACCAGTCTCAATTAACGAACTTCGCTTGGCTCTAGAAGAGGGTTGGCAAAACATACAGCAAGATGATATTCGCAACCTCATAGATAGCATAAGCCGAAGTGTAAAGGTAGTTGTAGAAGCAAGGGGAGGCAATACAAAGTATTAAATTATTTTTTAGTAGTTTTTCTTTGTTATTTGCGTACTTAGGTGGTTACACTTAATTTTTTTTTTATGTTTTGTTATTGTTATCATTGTGTATTAAAACTAAGTGTATGTCAATGCTTTTAATCATTATTTGAATATAGTGCTTCTGGAATATCGATATGACATTCCTTCGATATTAGTCCTTAAAGCCCCCATCGTCGTATTACAAATTAATACAAAAGATAATGGTAATAATATGAAAAGTCGTATATTGTGGGTATCAAAGTCATTTCGCTAATAAAAACAAGGTTTTACGAAAATCAGCTAACTGAATTATTCCACCGGATATTATCTTTACTTTACTTTGCATATGTCATCATTCTAAGACTAACATCCAACATTCTGTCGTTTTCCAAGTTAATAATTATGAATCCATTATATATACATCTATATATTTCCTCGTTTTTCTTGATTTACATATTTACACATTTTAGGTACAAACCATAATTTTGATATGCTGAGCTCTGACTGAAAATGTGATGGGGTTTGGGAAGAATAAAAAGATATACTGTATTAATAACAAATTATATTTACATTTGCTTATACAAAAATATTTCTACAAAAGATACAAAACCAAAATATTAAAATGTTTCTACATTCACACGTATAAATATTTTAAACAGTTACTATAATGTTTTACAGAATTGATAAACAAGTGTGGAACACTAGAAATAAAATACATATTTATGTTGTTTCCAAATAATATTTCTGTATTTTAATCTCTAGTTTTTATTTTCGTTGTATTTTATAAAATATTCTGTATAATAATCTTGTGTGTTTTACATTATATTATTGTATCTTTATCTCTAGCTACATAATTAATTGAACTTTGATGGTATACAGGGCAAATATCGAACACAGTAATTAATTAAATCTTGCCCAAGTACTTTCGATCAATAGATCATCCTCAGGGGCATTTTGTCAGTTGTGGCCTATCCGACATGAGCAGAATGTCATACTTGTAAATTTAGACATAACAATACAACACACAAAGACAAATAAACACACAAGATTTAATTAATTACTGTGTTCGATATTTGCCTTGTATACCATCAAAGTTCAATTATTCGAACATTCAACCTTATATTGACATAATTAATTGTTTAACATATAATTTTTAAATGTATAAATTAACTGAGGTCCAAAGTTGAATTGGTACTGTCAAGACAAATTATCCTTTTATTAAAAGTCTATCACGGTACTCCCTAAATAACAATAGAGTCCAGGAAAATATGATTTGTCTGGTGACACTGACCCAGGCAGCAAACGACAGTTGTTTTAAATAGTATGGAGCTCTATAATAAAACTCTATTTATGTTTCCTGCTGTCAGTTTTTTGGACTTAACTAGTTATTAACACATTAAGGTCAAAAAATGGTAAATTTTCGCTTTTTTTGTCTTCAGGACAAAGTGAGGTATTTGAAGCAAATTTAAGAGTAAAAAAAGTTCATAATAAAAGTTTCAAAAAGTCATATAAAAGCCATATAATATCAGAAATCTCGGTTTTTATAAATGATATTATATGGAATAGTCGGTCTTGTGGTGCTGAACAGATGCTCAACATTTTGAAGCTATTGATCAAATAGTTTAAAAGTTAGTATGTTTATTTATCTCAAATTAAATTTTTTTGCAAAAATAAAAATTAGAAAATAATGAAGTTACAGTAACTCTTCGGGTAGCTTATATTAGCTTCAGTTGTACTTAAACGATTACTGCCATATACAGAGGAAATTATTGGAGATTACCAATGCGGCTTTAGGCCTGGAAGATCAACATTCGACCAAATATTTACTATCAGACAAATGCTAGAAAAGTATTGGTAATATAATAAAGAAGTACACCAGATCTTCATAGATTTCAAACAAGCATATGATTCTATAGATCGCTTAAAACTGTGGAGTGCAATGATGAAGTTAGGCGTACCAAAGAAGCTGACCATGATTGCGCGAATGTGTGTCAACAATTCCTTTGCACAAATTAGAATAGGAGGCAAAACTTCAAAGGCTTTCGGCATAAGCACCGGGCTCAGACAGGGAGACCCGCTGTCCCCATTACTATTTAACCTAGCATTGGAATACGCAATGCGAAAAATCTATACCAGAGTCAAACCAGACATAACTGCCAAAGGAGCAAAGATTATTCTCGCATTTGCAGATAATGTAGATGCGGTAGCACAGACAACACTGGAAGTTAAGGATATAGTATCAAATTTTGAAGAAACAACACTAAGTGTAGGCCTGAAAATAAACGAAGAAAAAACTAAATACATGGTCGTATCAAAAAAGGAACGACAGCGAATAAGACAAAACATTACCATAAATGATCATAATTTTGAGGTGGTCAAAGAATTCAAATACATAGGAACAACAATTACCAGTGAAAACACAAGAAAACGGGAGGTTGAAATACGAATACTGGCGGGGAATAAATCATTATTTGCCATTCAACATCTAATGAGGTCAAAGCTTCTCTCAAGGCGTGCCAAAATCCAAATGTGCAAAACCATAATACGACCAGCAGTGACATATGGAAGTGAAAAATGGACACTGAGAAAGAAAGAAATCAATAAGCTATTAGTATGGAAACGCAAAATCCTGCGAATTATATATGGTCCTTGCAGGGACAGCGTGACAAATGAATGGAGGAGCAGATACAACAATGAAATAGAGACTCTCTTCGGAAAAGGAAACATCGTAAGATACATAAAAGCCAATAGATTAAGATGGGCAGGCCACGTGGTACGGAGTGATGGAAAGACCAGATGGTAGAAGATCGACAGGAAGGCCTAGAAAAAGGTGGAAAGACGCAGTCAG